GTTCAAACAACCAGTATGGGAGAGACACATCATGCAGTTGGTCCTTCGCAAGACTAGAAAACAGGTACATCTGAGTCACTTCTGGGCTGAGCTCTGTCCGGGGTTCTACAGTGACATCACCTTGAACTTGTTCTCTGTGCTTGATCACTGCCACCATCTACTCCTTCAGCAACACTGTCACCTTCAGCACGTCCGCTGACCCTTTGGTCTCTAATCCGTACATCAAAGTTTTAAAAACATGCTCTTTGGTTTCGAACCGTACAGCTGACAACACAACTTTACCCAGGCATTTGACCGCTCTCTCTAAGTCCTAGCTCCCTGTAGTTTACAGCAATCCATGGGCTGCTTTTAAGATAAAATGAGAAAACTGGATTTCCAAAGAACCTATAATATAGTAAAAAAAAAAACTCTGTGAGTATTAGACATTACAAAATTGAAAACAAATATGGGGGATTAAATCTTCTTTCTCCTTCTACTGGCCTGTCTGTCATAGCATCCTGTTCATTTTACATCTGAATGTCCCTCAGCCCCTACACCCTACTTCAAGCTGAGATATTGAAGCACCCACTAGTCTCCATGAACCCAATTTTCAGTTTCTAAAAGAGATTTGATCCTGTCCTGGGGGAACATAAAAAATGTAGTAGTACATTACAAGTACATTAGGTAGTCCTCGTTACCTAATAATTTCTGATAATCTGTGTCTCTGTATCAAGTAATTCCTGAAAAATCAATTCCTCCCCCCAGAGGTGAGACCTCAGTCTGATTCAACTGGTCACTTTCCAGGTGACTTGCCTGGTGTGGTCCCCAGTGACATCATCAATAAAATATACATTCATATGGTCCTGACCAACACTTCTTGTCCTTTGAGACCTGGTTCAAAGGTCGTTTTTTCAATCAAATTGTCCTTCATTGTATCACTGATCTTCAGTATAGTCCTGTCAGAAAGCAGGGCAGCTATCAAGTAAATAAGTTTTCTGTGACTTCAGCTGGGAATGAAGGCCTTGGATCCACGAATTCCACCTGGTCCTCACTCTAGAGCTGGGAATGAAGGTCTTGGATCCACGCTGTCCGCACAGTCCTCACTCTAGAGCTGGGAATGAAGGTCTTGGATCCACGCTGTCTGCCTGGTCCTCACTCTAGAGTCGTGGTTCCTGCTACATGAAGTGGGTCGCAGTTTGTACAACTCCATGGCAAATCCCTCCCACTAAAGGCTGGGGAGCCACTAGAACACGAGAAAGATGTTCCAGTGGCTTCTTTTCATGTCAGGAAAGGGTCACCCACCCTTTGTTTTGATTTCTGTCTTGAGAAGTAAGCCACACTGAGAGTCCAGGGTGCACTCTGAGAAGACAGGGTGTCACTGTCAGCTCTTGGCACTGTGTGTGTAGCTACTCCCGTCACTGAAGCCAGTCTCCAAGCTGTGTGGACATCTGCTGGGAATATTTCAGTGGCAAAGTCTCGATCCATCCACAGTGACTGAGCTGTGTAGGAAATCAGGTGGAGATCCACCCAATAGTGTCTAACTCAAAAGAGCAAGTGACATTTTGCCTGTCTGTGGTTGTCTAAAGCAGTGTGTGTTCATATAGTTTCCAACGGAAAATCCTGTTCTGACTGCATTTCGGGACAGAGGGCTGAAGTAATACAGAGTCCATATTCTCCAGGATGGACTTCTACAAGAGTTCCCCTTGTTTGTTCCTGAAATACTCTCCATTCCCTATCTCCAAGAGTATTTCTAAGAGAACTTTCTAGACTGCCTGCTCCCCATCTCTAGGTAGGACCCGCTCCACACGGCAGCCAACACTGTTGTCCTCAAAACACATCTTGAATATGACCCTCTACTTCTTTATACATCTGGTAGTCGTTGATTCCTTAGATTGAAATTCTAATGCATTCCCCTGGAGAGTCTATCTGATGCTCTGACCTCATTTCATCCCTCGCTACAACCCGACTCTGTAGACCCTGTGTTATAATTTAAATGTAAAATGTCTCCCATAGGTACACATGTTTGAACACCAGGTCTCCAACTGGTTATAATAGTCTGAGGGGGCTTTTGAATATTGTGAGTTGGAACCTAGATGGAGAAAGTGGTCAATAGGGAATGGGCTCTGAGGCTGTCACCTCCAGCCCATTCTCTCTGTTTCCTGGTTGTCACCACAAGCAAGCAGCAACCATACCATGAACTCCACCATGGTGAGCTGTACCCCCTCAAACCATTGGGTCTAAATAGATTCTGCCCCCTTTAAGTTGCCTCTGCCGGGTGATCTACCTTCTTGTATGCATTTGCTTTGTTCGTTCCTTCTGTGCCTTTGCGCATGTGTCCCCTCTACTTAAGATGAGTTTAGGGTTAGCCAGAATGGACCAACGGTTGTAGAGAGAGGGGATCTTGAGCTCTATCTAGGACTCATCAGCTTAGTTATATTTTAGTGCTGTGATGAACACCAAGGCACCTTTAGAAGAGCGCTTTAAGGGCTTACAATTCTGGAGGGATAAGACTCCGTGATCGCGGAGCATGGGGCATCAGGCACCGCTGAGAGCCAACATCTCAGACTCCGAGCAAGGGGCAGAGAACACATTGGGAATGGTACAAGTCTTCTGAAAACTCAAGGTGACTTACTTCCTCCAACCAGACCCTGCTTCCTCATCCTCCCCAAACAGCCACCAACTGAGTACCAAATATTTAAATGCCTGAGACTGACAGAGGATATCTCACTCAAACTCCCACACTGTCTGTCTTACCCATCCATAATCATCAATATAGGTAGACTCTTAGTTTCGGTGGAGTAGGATCTATCATCTCTTTCTTAAAGTTTACTTTTATTTCATGTGTATACCTGTTTACCTATATGCATTTATGTAAACTACATACATATAGTGTCTATGGAGGCCAGAAGAGGACATCCGATGTCCTGGAACTGAAGTTACAGATAGTAGTGAGCCTTCACGTAGGTAATGGGAACCAAACCCAGGGCCTCTTCAAGAGCAGCCATTGTTCTTAACCAGGGAGCCATCTTTCCATTCCCAGGGTTTCTGTCTTCTAGGAACCCTGGCGTTGGTAGTATTGCCTTGTTTCAAAGCAAGGGAGAATGCAAGACAGTGAGGGTGTGGCTCTCATTTTCCTTGCTTTTCTGCTAAAATGTTCAGGGGGTACAGGCAAGACATTTTTAAGGGGGAAGAAAGACATAGCAAACATGACATTTTGAAAGGCTAATTGGATACGGATGGACGTATTGAGATGCTGTCCGTTATTGTCAGAAATAATGTCTTACAGAGAAGCTGTTGTGGAGAGAGCAGTGCTATTGATGGACTTATGGCACTCGGGAATATGGAAGCAGTAAGGCGGAAGAACAGTGCCTGCAGAATGATGTCAGTCAAAGCAAAGGAACAAAACTAAACACCTCTGATGTGAGAGCTGACCCCGCCCACAGGATTCGACCCATAGGACCCATGTGGATAGACCCATGGTTATTTAATGCAATCAGATGTGAACTGGGAGGGGTCTGCTGACCACTCTGCCCCTGAGATGTGATCTCATGTTTGCTATTAGGTTCAAAAATCAAAACAAGCTTGTGAGTCAGGGAACATACGTCTCGAGTTTTAGAATACCATTCCCATTTCATCCTCTGCAACCCCAGAGCCCATGGGTAATCCTGTAATCCCAATATTTCATCATCCAAACTACATTCTGCTTGTTTCCTTCTGCCCATGGAGGAGATGTGACAGAATTCTCTGCCCAGACCACGAGTCCCAGTTTTGAATTCAGGAAACAGGATCATGAGCCCTACGGAGCCAGCTTGGGCAGTGGGAGAAAGACTCCAATCAAGATCATTACGTTTTGTTCCAAAGCTTTATTTTCTTAATGCAAAACAAAATTATAGATGATGGGAAATAAAGATAAAGCAGGAAAAGAAAACTGGGTAATGGGATCGGATTAGAGGGCAGATTCAGGTTAGTCAGGAGTTTCCATAAACAAGATTGACTGTCTGGTAAAGTCTCCGGTAGAAGCTTGCCATCCGGCCTGCGGGTGCTTGGGGCGTTGGCCTTTTGGGAAGCACCTCGGAGTAACAAGCAAGCGTGCTTGTGCTCAGGTCTCCAGAACCACAGTTACCAGTGGAGCCTTGGTGGGGCTCAAGCTCTTACTTCCCGTGAAACTGGGCCAGGAAACAGCGCTTTGGGGAAGGGGGGGTTGCTTTGTCACGTGGTGGAAGGATCTACAATGTAGAGCAGACTTGGCGGCCACCCTCAGTTTTAAGTGGGGTATTTACTGTGGTTCCAAAGAGATTTAAGAAATTCCCAGCATGGGGCATTCATGACCCTCCTGTAGTCTGCAGGGAAGGATTGCAAAACAGTATCACTGTCCAATTATATAAATATCAACTCTACCTTCTTCTTATTTATTTTCTTCTGATCAGTTATCTCAACCAAATATACTCTTGAGTGGATCTGTCTTGTTTATTGTGTGGGGCTTCCGTCCTACCTCTGGAGGGTATATTTCACGAGTAGCTAAAAAGGAAGGCTCTTACCCAGAGTAGGTGCTATGTGCATAGCTGTTGAATGAAGAAATGTATGGATTTTTAAAAATGTGTGTGTATATATACATGTGGGTATGTGGGCATGCAACTTATGTGTGTCTGTTGAGGCCAGACATCAGCATTGACTATTGTCCTCTATGGCGCTACGCCTTTCTCTTTGAGATGCTACAGAAACTGTCTCTCACTGACTGGCAAGACTAGGACCTCCTTCCACACAGGAGCGCCCCGCCTCTGCCTTCCAGTGCTGGGATCATAGGCATTCACTGCCGTGCCTGGATTTTTACGTGAGTGCTGAGCGCCATACTCAGGCTTGCGTAGCCAGCGCTTTGCCACCCTGAGCCATTTCCTCGGCCTCAGAACCGAGGGCAGGAGGACGGTCAGTCTGAGGCCAGCAGATCTCCTGCCAGCCATCCGCCCTCACTCCTCCCTCCCAGACGCTGCTGATCGCTCTACACCTTTTCTCTCTTTTTGCAGAGCATCGGCTGTGATGACTTCCTGGGCTCTGACAAGGTCGTGGACAAGTGTGGGGTGTGCGGAGGCGACAACACGGGCTGCCAGGTGGTGTCGGGAGTGTTCAAGCATGCCCTCACCAGCCTGGGCTACCACCGCGTCGTCGAGATTCCCCAAGGAGCCACGAAAATTAACATTACAGAGATGCACAAGAGCAACAACTATTTGGGTGAGAGTTCATTTCTCCTCTCCATACACACGTGCGCGCACACACACGCACACACGCACGCACGCTCGAGACGTGTCACTACAGGTAGTGAATTCTCTCCAAGGTGGTGAAGTGACCGCTGTGGTGGCCAGACATCCCAGGACACACAGAAAGTGCCACTGGGGTCTTCCTGACCTGCTGTTTGGGATAGAGTGTGTGTGTGGCGGGGGTGCAGGTCTGCCCAAAAATTAAATGGCTAATGTCTATATATTTACACCAGGCTTTACTCGAGAAAGACATGGGCATGAAATGGGCAAGAGACTCCTTTGAGCTGGGAGGGTTTTTTTTTTTTTTGTCAGGGAGGGAGGGAGGAGGAGTCTTTGTTCTCTTGGGGTCTGGGGACAGGGATCACTGAGAACTCCTCCTCCCAGATAGTCGCTCCATGGAGGTCTAAAGTGAAGGCAGTCCTTGCCTTCGCTCTCTTTTGTCTGCCGGGGGAGCAGGCCCCTGCAGGTCTTCTGAACTGCTGTGGACCCCACAGCGGTCATCTCAGCCAGCGCCATCTGCATTTAGCCCATTTCCCTGCAGGCGAGAGAGCCTTGCTGGTGCCGTCTTCTGGAATCCGGGATATTTGTGTACCTGCCACTGTGCAGCATCCCAAGAATGGGTGCTTACCAATTTCTAATTCAGATAAGCATGTATAAATCAGTGAAGCAAGATTATAGGGGTGCCTGTTTTGTTTTCTGAGACAGGGTCTTGATCTGTAGCCCAGGCTGGCCTGTAAATCGTAATGTAATCCAGGCTGGTCTTCCTCCTACATGCGGGATTACAGTCATAAACCACCAAGCCTGGCCTAGGGTGTCATGTCTTCAAACACTTAATGAGCAGCAATAGACATTTTCTTTGTAATTATTCAATAATTTTATTGAACAGAACTTGTCTAGAACAAATCTATGCCAGGAAACATACTTATGGCTTTTTCTGTATAAAATCCTAGAACACTCTGGGAATAGCCTCAGTTTACAAATAAAACAGACATATAGGGGGTCAGAGAACTTGCCACGGTCATACAGCAAGGAAGAAGCAGAGCTGGGATTTAAACCAAGCAAGGGAGCTCAGGCACAGAAGTCTAACATGAGATAATACCCATGGGCCTCCTCTTCTCTACCACTGGTCGTGTGGCAGTCAGTGTCCGCCAGAAGTTTTTGACATACCATTCATTTTGTCGTTGTTTATGGTGTTGGTGGTCTACGTGTGTGTGTATGTGTGTGCACCTGCGTGTGTGTACACACATGATTACACATACCCATGAAGGCTAGAGGCCAGCCTCAGGTGTCATTCCTCAGGTGCCAGCACCTTGATTTTGAGCTCCCTAGCCTGGAGCTTGCAGAGTAAGCTAGACTGATTGGCTAGTAAGCCTTGAGGATCTGCCTGCTTCCACATCCTCAGCACTTGGGTTACACACATGAGCCATTGTATCCACTTTCTTATGTGGGTTCTAAGAATCAAACTCAGGTCCTAACATCTGCGCAGTCAACATCTTAAAATGACCGAGCCAGCTCTCCAGCAATCATTTTACCCGTGTCCCATCCCTACCTCCTCAAAAGCAGCCCAGACTAACTTCACTTAGTTTGATTGTCTGGGGTATAAAAGGATGGGCAGAAGTCTCTGAGGCAAGCCCAGTTAAAGCAGAAAACTGTTACCGTTTTCTCTGGCAAATCCAGGAGCCTCCAAAGTGGCAGGAAGCTAAGGTCCTCCGTGAGCGGTTTGTGTCATTTCACATCTTAAATGATGATCTCTGTTTCCGCCTTTCTCTGGTGCTTTTATAAGATCCCATCTCCACACACATCCTGCCTCCTCCGGTGGGAAATGTTCCTCGGGGGTTATTTGAAGTGTGGTTGTGTTTAGACACAACAGCAAACAACGCCAGTTTTTATTAGCTTTATGTTGTTTTCCGGAAATGTTCCCTCGCTATCGCTGGTCCCATTTTGTAATCAGTTTCAGGATCCTTAAAGGTACAATGGACATTCTTTGTGAACATCCACAGGGTATCTAAGTGGAAACCGACCAGACCCTTGCTCTTGCCATCCAGAGTATAGAATTTTGTCCTTAGACTTAAGAAGAGAACAGATACATCAAGGAAGGTGATTGACAGGTGTTCCTTCCTTTTGTCTCAGGGGGTTTGTCAGGGTATAAAACTTAATGGAAGATGGTGGGGAGGTGACTCAGTGTGTGAGCGTAGAGACTGGGGTTCAGATCCCCCAAATCCAGGCCGAGTCGGCATGTTGTGCTAGCTCTGTAATCCAGCTAAGCCCCAGCACTCATTCCTGAGGCAGAGACGCAGCTCCAAGTTCACCAGGAGACCCTACCTCGGGAAATAAAAGCATAAGCTGATGAAGAGGGATGCCCAGCGTCAAACTGTTACCCATGTGCACAGAGCCCCATGTGCGTTAACATGCATACAGACGCACAGATACACACAAACGTGGGATAGAAATCTCCCCTTCCCGTGAGAAGAATGAAGAGAAAGCAGAGGGAGAAAAGAAGTATCAAGAGTCCACAGGAGAGTGACTCGGGACGTCCATGTTGACTCCTTGTGCCTAGAAACCAGCGGAATTTTGACAAAGGCCTCATTCGCTAGTGCTACAGGCTGGTGTGTCGGCAGGAGAGGGGAGCAGGAGCAGGCTTTGGGGAAGGGGGCTCCAGGAGTCATGAACCTAAGCTTCCAGCCATAGCATTGATGTCACCCAGAATGCTCTAGATTTTCCTTCTGTTCTTAAAACTCAGGATACAATTAGCACACCATAGACTTCATCCTTTTGACAGCACCATGGTCGGGTGGTCTTTTTCTTATCCCAGGCCTTCTTTACCCGACTCCCTCAACTGTTCACAGCCTTCTGCTCTACCTATAGAGCCTCTGTTCAATGCTGTTTGCCTGAGATTGCTTGAGGCTCACACAGCCGTTGGCCCATAGGCACAGCTGTGATTTCTAGACCCCAAGGCCAGTTGTCATCGTTTAGCCATTGTCAGATGTGAAATCCACTATTGCACTTGTCTCAAGAAGACAGTAGGTGGGGGTCAGTGAGGTGGCTCCGCAGATAAAAGTTCTTGCTGATGGCTGGATTGGGCCCCCGAGACCCACATAACGGAAGGAGAGAATCAGCTCCCTCAAGTTGTCCTCTGACCTCCACACATCACACACATGTGCTTGGCCTGTGTGAATATCTGTGCACCAGTGGCACGCCTGGTGATGTCTGGTGCCCAAGGAGGCCAGAAGAGGACACTGTATCTCCTAAATACAGTGTGAGCCATGTATGGTCTCTGTGAATCAAACCCAGATCCTGAAGAACCAGCCAATGCTCTTAACCACTGGGTCATCTCGCCAGCCCATAATTATTTTTTAATTCCTTTTTTTAAAAAAAAAGGTTTTATTGTTACTTACAAAAGGTGCAATTTTAAAATTAGAGTATGAAAATTGAATAACAACATTTTTGAGACAAGATCTCATTATAGAACCCAGAATGATCTCAGACTTTAAATACTTCTGCTTTGGCCTCCAAGCGCTGGGATTAAAAGCATGTAACACCATTTCCAGCTTGGGAAATTAAAAATTTTAAAACAAGAACTACATAGAAGAGGGAGGCATAGCAACCAACAGGCCTTAGCTGAGACATCAGCAATTCTGGTGTATTAAACTTACCTCTGAGTTTAGCCTACAGACCTGGCCCACTGGCCCCTGGCCTGCTGCTGCTGCTGGCCCTTGCCTTTGTGTAGCTCACAGGAGGGCTGCCTCCCCGGAGCTGGGGGGAGCAGGCTGCCTTCACTTCACCATGCTCCTGTTTCCTTCAGTAAGCAACACGATAGAAACTGGGACGTTTAATGGCACACACATATGAGAAATGACACACGTTCATTTCATTTTTGGGTTGTAAAACCTAGGACACTCCAAGAGCGAGCTGCATTTTTATTAAAATCAAACAGTAAAAATGTCTTATGTCCTTCAAAGCTCAGCCTGTTTAGTCAGAACCAGACGTTGCAACTTTAGAACTGCTATCTGTTGTAAAGCTGTAAATTCTCCTTATTCTCGGACTTGCTATTTGGAGGAAAAACATCGAATCTGATGTTATTACAATGACTGGCAGTTTGTATGACTTACTTCTCCCTTAATAAGATGTTGTAAAATGATTTTAGCTGAAATATCAGAGTTTGGCGCAGTTGAATCGGTCCGGTTCGCTAATGCCGTTATGCAACAGTGCAGCTCTGGACATGAAAGCACAGCCCGCAGCGGCTGACTGCTCGGGGCATGCTCTACCTGCCAGCGACTTACACCGTTCAGAGGCTCTAGACTTGGACGGAGTTCTTGGAGATCTGCAAGATTTTAAAAACAAGCTGGTAATACAGTTCCCTTGAAACATGTTCTCGTGAAAGTTTAAAATAATAATAACGGGGGCTGGAGAGATGGCTCAGCGGTTAAAAGCACTGGCTGCCCTTGCGGAGGACCTGGGCCCAGTTCCCAGCACCCACATGGTGGCTCACAGCCATCCATAACTCCAGTTCCAGGGAATCCAGCTCTGTTGGCCACTGTGGATGCAAGGTATGTGCTCGGTACACTCTCATACGTGTAAACAAACTCATACACATAAAATAAAATGAACAAATCTTTAAAATAACGATGGTTAGCACCTAGCGCCTCAAGAACCATCATGAAGCATCTCTAATGTGCCGACTTTCTGTATGGGAAGGCTCAGAACGTTTGAAAGAATGTGACATCTTGGACTGGAGAGATGGCTCAGCCATGAAGGCCACATACTGCCCTTGTGGAGAACCTGAGTTCAGTTCCGGGTCCACGGCTTGCAGCTGCTGCAGTTCCAGCTCCAAGGGAACCTGTGCCTGCATTCACATGCATACACCCACATATAGATAACTAAAATAGCTTGAAAGGCAATCTTGTAAAAAACGCATATGATGCCTTATACATGTATGACGATCAATCCCAAGGATTTTTTTCATGGATGTTAGAAAAATGTCAAGCCATTAAGGAAACAGAAAGCAAAAAGGGTAAAATCCCCTCTTTGTACCAATCCTGCATTGGATCTGCCCCCTTCAAACGTACAGACATTGTGTATGTGTTTAACTTCCAGGTCCAGTACATTTCTTTGCATTTTTCTAGCTACTGGGGTTTTTTTTAACTTATTTTCACATTCTTATGAGTTTGCCAATTTTAAAATTGTTGGATTTTAATTTGCCAGTTTTAAAACTGAGGTTCTCTTGCTGCTTTTTAAAATGCACAGTTATGAGTAGTAACCGTTTTCTGTTTGTCTCTGTTGAAAATCTTAGCCTTTATCTTGCCTTTCAGCTCTGTGTGGTTTAGTCAGTACTCTGTGGTGCACATCTTTTGGCTTTATTTAGTCAGGTCTGTTGGTAGCTTTCGTGAAAGCTCGTAGGTGTTTGTATTACTGGGGAGGACCTGCCCACGGCCAGCATTATAAAGGCAGCCTTTAACAAATCACTACTCGCTAGCTCTATTTTATATTTAAATATTTAATTCTCTGGACTCAATCTTTGTGTGTGGTGTGAGGAAGGATTTGGCTTTATTTTACCAGATAGACAGTTTACTCAAAAGCATTTATCAAATTTCCTCTAATATGAACTATCGTCTATACCACATATTACATATGAACGTATATGGGTATACTTGTGGACCCTCGGTGTACATCCATCAATGTGTTGGTGTCTTCTACTTTAGAACCATAGTCTCTGCATTACTGTCATTGTATTTTTATTTATTTTCATTTTAATAATATTTTTACTCTTTGAAAATTCCATATATTTATATAATGTATAATGTTTGTGTCTGCCCACTACTACCTCCCTCCCATTTCCCTCAGTACCCCTGCCTCATCTCCATCCTAGCTTCATGTCCTTTTTATTTAATTTTTGTTATTATTAATAACCCCTGAGCCCAACTAATGCTGTACATGAGCCTGCAGCTCTTCACTGGAGCATAAACAACCTACCAGCATCCGCATCCACAAAGGAGAACGGCCAGCCATCAACAGACAGCTCCTTGGGGTCCTTCCTCGTCCATACTGAAATTTTGACTGGCTTGATGGTGTGTGGATAACCACAGCTGCTGTGAGCTGACCTGTGCAACAGCCGGGTCATCTCCAGAAGTCAGCCATTCACAGCTCTCTTTTCCATCCACAGGTTCTCTTGTTCTTTCTGCCCGCCATTTCCATAAAGTTCCTAGCGTCTCCGGTGGCGGAAGGTTGATACAGATCCAATGCCAAATGCTCAGGGTTATTTGTTCTCAGCATTTTGACCAGTTATGAACCTCTGCCTTAACCACTACCCACTTCAAAGAAGCTCATCTCGCCAAAGTTGAGAACAGTACAGATCTGTAGGTACAAACATAAATGTTTAGAGTGTAGTTTGGCAGTATGACCATTTAGCGAAACAATAGGCATATGATTTCCTCAATCACGGGCTTTGACCAAACTTACAATACCAGACATGAAATCCTCCCTGTGGCTCATATCCAATCAGAATGTGATTGGTTACCCCCAGAGCCTCATGCCACCATTGCCCCAGTGGGCACATCTTGCTAACAGCTCCCTGTTGGGTCCAAGGCAGGTCCATACAGAATCCAGCACTGAGTAGGCATACAGAATCCAGCACTGAGTAGGCTCGCTGGTATTTTTTCTCTCCCAGGAGCCTGCATACACCTTCTGGAACTATATAAACTATCCTTTATGGAATGGGTTTCCTAATCAGTTCGGGGTTGACTTCTCTGTGTCCTATATCCGAGGTCAGTGATGTCTTCAGTGATAGGGTCTTATCATCTAGGTATGGCAGACAGCAAATAGCAACAGCAGTACTCTGTGATCTTTGGGGTGTCCCTGGGGTTTGCCTAGCCAATAACGTGGGAAGATAACCTGTCTGGCAGTGGGATTTTCTGATAACCCATGTCTTCTTCGAAGAACATCATTCACCCATCCCTGGTACTCTGTTTAAACACTTCTTTTAAATAAATGCATTTTAAATTAGCTTCCAAACTGGTTGCTTTCTACATAAGGCCTTTCTTCCTGTAGCCTTAGTCTTCTCTGACCTACTCCCTGCCTCTGCTCTCCCCATCCCTACTTAAACTTTCTTTCCTCTCAATTATTTCCCGCCCTCCTTTGGTGACTGTTGTTATTCTGTGGTGAGTTTCATGCTTGTGGGTCACCTCTCTTCCCCTCCTTAATTCCTTGCTTGATCGCCTTGGTTTTGCCTTAAATATCCTTGTGTGTTTTCATGCATTTGTTCTTCCAAACGCACTGGAAAGGTATTTCGTCAAAATCCACAAAACCCATTGGGATCCTACCTGGAATTGCTGTAAGCGAGTGGTAAATGTATAGGTTAATTTGAGGTAGAAGAGGGGCATGTTCAAGGTGTTGAGTCTTTTGATTCCGAAATATGGTCTAAATCCTGGATCATGAGGTTTAATTGGGTTTCTTTCTGTCGACTCTGTCAGCTTTATTAGGTATATCTTTAAGTATTTTACAGTTTTTGTTGGTTGGATATGTGCCATCTTTCTCTCTGCTATGTCACTGATTAAATATGTTGGCGCATGCGTGGGGTGGGGGGGGACTATAAAAACAACTAGAAAAAAAACAAAGGAACCATTAAAATGAGTTTAAGTGGTGGCTTTAAAAGATGATAATCAGGGGCTGAAGAGATGGCTCAGTGGTTAAGAGCACCATTGCTCTTCCAGGGGAACCAGGCTCAGTTCCCAGCATCCACATGGTGGTTCACAACCCTCTGTAACTCCAGTTCCAGGAATCCAGCACCCTCTCCTGGCTGCCACAGGCACTGCAGACATGTGGTACATGCCAGTAAAACATCCGTACTCATAAAATTCATCTTAAAACATATACCTAAGAGGGCTGAAGAGATGGCTCAGAAGTTAAGAGCACTGGCTGCTCTTCCAGAGGTCCTGAGTTCAATTCCCAGTAACCACATGGTGGCTCACAACCATCTATGATGAAATCTGGCGCCCTCTTCTGAAGGCAGAATGCTGTATACATAATAAATAAATAAATCTTTTTTTAAAAAATATATATATATACCTAAGGTACCATCACGATTACTTTCCAGTGACTCATTGTGAATTTTTAGCTTCCAGACCAAGCCCCCTCTTTTAGCTCACAAGAGGGGCTTCACTGAGCTGGTTGGCAGGGGCCTCTGGTTTGCTAGCTCTCAGCCCAGCAATGGAACTCTCAACTGAAAAATCTTCTCTGAGCCTACCCTTCTGGCACTTGGAGTCCTTACTGCATGGCAGAAGAATAAAGGAAGGAAAGTAAAAACAAAGAAAGGAGGCTTTTTCTTGGGATTTTTCACAGGCCTTTGACCATTTCCCCCACGTGGGCACTTACAGTTTTTATTGCCATTTCTCTGTGAGGCCACTCACTCCTTGATGACAAACAGCCCAGCCTTGGACATTCCTTCTCTCAAGTCCACAAAATGGACTAGGAGCTGGGGTGAGAAGTGAGCCTCAGAAATAAAGGTGGGATGGGGGCTTCAAGGACATGCAGATTGTGTGTGGGACATTCGGGGGTCTCAGTGCCCATCCTGGACCTCACTTATGATGTGGAGGTCCTATTATATATTAGACTGTTGGAATTCTGTGTCCCCACCTCCTTCATTTCATCCTCACAGTGCTCATTTCTGGTGGTGTTCTAGTTCCTTTCTGTTGCTGCTATAAAACATTCTGACCAAAAGCAGCTATTGGGAAGGGAGTATTTCTGTTTACAGATCATAGTTTAGTATTGAGGAGAGTCACGTGGGAACCAGCAATGACTTGAAGCAGAAACTATGAAGGAGCACTGCTTGCTGGCTTGCCCACAGGCAAGCCCCAGGCCCATGTTTACCTAGCTTTCTTACATATCCAAGGGCCACCTGTCCAGGGAATGGTGCCACCCACAGTTGGCTGGGCCTTCCCACATCAATTATCAATAAAGACAATCCTCCACAGACAGGCCCACAGGCTAAACTGATCTGGGCATTCCTCTGACCTGGGCCTGGTCAATTAAGCTAGGCCTATTGGCCCATATGCCCTAGGGGGTCCTGCTGTCACACACACACACACACACACACACACACACACACACACACACACCCCGGTGCTGAGGATAGCAAACACTCAGCACTGTGCCCAGCTTTTCACAGGACTGCTGTGGATCAAACTTCAGTGTTTGTACTCACACAGGAACCACTTGCTGACTGCTCTCCCCTCAGCCCCAGACACTGTGCCCTTGAAAGAGTGTCTAAGCAGGTGCTGTAACAGACTCCAGCCCTCTCCTCTTAGACGTCAGAGCCACATGCTGAAATGGACTTGGTGGCCCCCCTAGTTACCTGTGACAGTTCGTGACAACCCCAGGAGGCCGTCAAATCACAAGCGCCTCACCGCGATGCCCTGATGGCTGTCCGTTCCTCATCTTTCTGGAAGATGAGCAAAGTGATTGTGAAATTTTTTGGTTTTGTTTTTCTTAATATGGACTCTGCTCTTACCTCCTCTTCAAGATAAACTTGTATGATTGCTGTACAAAATCCAATGTTTGCAAAACAAATACCCCATGCCAGGGAGACCGTGCCCTCCTGCTGTGGTTTGGAGAGAGAGAGCTCCTGTGTCCCTACCTCTGTTTGCAGCGGCTCGCTTTTCTCTTTCCCAGTCCCTCTGCCCTTGACAAGCTTTCAGATATGCTGGAACAAAATGAAGTCACCCTGGCTGCGTCCTTAGGCTCATCTTCTTTCCACGTTTTCTGCTGTGAAGTTAACACTTCTACCCTGGAAATGTTTGTTTGTTTTATACTTGTCTTATAGGGAGGAATTAAACTATAGTTTGTTTCTGCTTTAAACTGCATTGTCTGTCTCCAAAATATGCAAAGCTTTGATACCAAGGAAAACATCACCTTGAATTCAGAAAGTAGCCCCTGAGTCAGCTGGGACTTGGGGGGTTTGTTTGTTCGTTTGGTGTCGGTTTTTGAAACAGGATCTCACGATTTAGTCCTGGCTTGCCTGGAATTCATTTTGTAGACAAGGCTGGTCTTGAACTCACAGAAATTCACCTGCCTCTGCTTCCAAAGTGCTGGGGTTAAAGACATATGTCCCTACAACCAGCCTGTTCTTGGGTTTCCAAGGGGAGAGATTTGACACCTTCAACCCAGTAAGAACATTATTTCCCCTCCCTGAGCCTCCAGACAGCATCTTTCAGGGTTGCCAGTCATACTCTAGGCTCCTCCTACCTGGATATAGACTAGATCAGGATCCCTATTGGTGAGTCAGAACAGGGCAGATAACATTGATTCTAAAATCCATCCATAACCCACTTGCAAATGTGCTTCAGTCTTCCCTCTTTGAGTCAAACTCTGCCTTTCTGTGGCATGTTGGATCCTTGAGAAACTGCTTAAGGCTATTTATGCTAAAGCCCAGGAAGAAATGGCTCACACAAGTATAAGCAGCACTCAGTGAACATGGTTGAATTCAGGAGAATTGACACCCGAGGAAAACAACTTTGAAGTTGTCTTACCTCCAGCTGCAGGCAACTGGACACCCATCCAAGTCGCTGCTCTCAGTTGGTCCTCCCTTGCCTTCTCTGAGAGTCAGAGCTTAGAAACAGGGGCTCTGCCTGAGATTACTCCCCCCCCCCCCCGCCCATTCTCCAGGTCTTGCCTTTCCACCAGCAGTCAAGGCAATTTAACCATCTTCCCTAAGCGGAGCACTCATGGATTCTGCTCTCCTAGATCTTTAGATCTCTGAAGTGGGCTCAGATGATTATTTTCTTTGTTTTTAAGAAGATTTTATTCTGTTTTTCAATTGGGGTGGGGACGATATGTATTGAGGGCAGCGCCTGAGGAGGGCATCAGATCCCCTGGAGGTAGAGTGACAGGTGGTTGTTAAGCACCCACATAGGTGCTGGAAACCAAACCCGGGTCGTATGTGAGGACAGTACACATTCTTAACCCCTGTGCATCCTCCGGCCTGGACTCTTCCTGGATTAGCTCTTGCCCCGCTGTTTTAGCATCTGCAGCTCTTATAATGACTTCACCTAGCCCTGCCCATCAACTTCCTTTACCACCTTGAGGCACTTCCGTATTTGTTAGCTTGGGGAGCACAATGTGCCATCTTGTCCAGGTTTTAGATTTCCTTCATTGTCTCATATTCAAGTCATCTGAATCAGAAACGTTTTCCTTTAAGTAAAACGCTGCTAGTTGTCTGATTTTGATACCTGTGTAAAACAACATTAATCTAAAAAAAAATCCAATGGCTACATATAAGCACTTGCCAAGTACAGCACATTACAAGGCAATACGTTTACAGTCTGCCTGGAACTCCTTTAATGACGCAGAAGTCATTTTTCCACTTCTTGTACTGAAACAAGGCAGTCCAGGGAGGCACCGTAAGAGAGGTAGCCTTTGAACTAGGCTTTTTAGAAAGTGTTGGCATCCTTTGTTGTTGGTTGTTTGGGTCTCTCTCTCTCTCTCTCTCTCTCTCTCTCTCTCTCTCTCTCTCTCTCTCTCTCTCTCTCTCTCTCTCTCTCTCTCTCTCTCTCTCTTGGGTTCTTTTGGGGCCTGCCATCCAGCTCCCAAATGAATATATGGAGGTTTATTATTTCTTATGAATGCCTGGCCTTAGCTTGGCTTGTTTCTAGCCAGCTTTTCTTAAATTATCCCGACTACCTGCCTCTGGGATTTTTCCTTTTCTTACTTCTGTATATCTTGTTTCACTCTTATTCTGTGGCTGACTGGCTGGGTGCCTGGGTGCCTGGGTGGCTGGCCCCTAGCATTGTCCTCTCCTCCTTTTCTTGCTCCTTCTTCTTGCTCTTTTCTCCTTCTGTTTATTCTCTCTGCCTGCCAGGCCCACTAATCCTTTGTCCTACTTTGCTATTGGCCATTCAGTTCTTTATTAGACTAATCAGGTGTTTTAGACAGACAAAAGTAACACAACTTCACAGAGTTAAACAAATGCAACATAAAAGAATGCAACACATCTTTGCATCATTAAGCAAATGTTCCACAGCATAAACAAATGTAACACATCTTCAAATAATAGTCCACAACAATCCTTACTGTTTTGTTTTGTTTTTGGAATGACATAGGGTAAATACATGAATCTGTTCAGGCCAGTGGGTCTCTGCTGCAGCTACTCCCCTGTAAAGTGAGGAAGCAGCTATAGGCAATGAGAGGATGGTTTACAGCCACACCACCCTGAACTTCTCTGATTTTTTGAAATTAAGCAGGGTTGTACCTGGTTAGTACTTGGATGGGAGACAAGATGAGAATGGCCAGGCATGGCTGTGCTCTGGAACAACTCCATCTATAAGCGATGCTTTCATCTCTGCGTTTGGTGTCCATGCTGTAGTCTGCCAACCCATCTTAGAGGATGTGTGGGCTTTGTCAGACGTGGGGAGAAGAGTGTGTCTGCCTGAAGCCACAGCATGGGCTGCAGTGTGGAGGAGGAGGCATGTGAGTGACCATTCTATAGACATGGTTCTTATACCAAATGGGTATAATGAAGACCTCTGAGACTACAGCTATAGGAAACAAGCAGGCTTCCAACTACAGAAGACATCACCCCAAATTACATCCTGTCGGTCAAGTCTTTGCCCAGTGTCAAGCCACTGGAGATGGTGACTAGAACTGGGTATAACAGGATTGTACCCGACCCCGGAAGGCAGTGTTAACCATGATAGAAGAAAGGGCCAACAGGCAGTTACTACTGTGGAAAAACCAGGTCCATAGCAAGAGTGTGAGGAAGAAGTGTCTAGCAACCAAAGATGGCAATATATGGATTTAGTGAATCCAAGTAATAAATTTACCCGTCAATAAATTTGTTTATGGGTTTAAGATTTTAATAAGTGCATGTAGTGTCTACTAAAGAAGAAAGCCACGCTGTACCACAAAGTAACTACTTCAGGGGAGTGACAAGCTGAGCTGCACTTGACATCTTAAGAAGCTAAAGAAAGAGAAGAGTCAGATGGGGCATTTTGGAATCTTGGTGGACATAAGAGAGGTCTGAGCTGTGTTTGGAAGAGACTGAACCCGTTCCTTGTCTCGGAAGCAGCACATCAGAGCCTAACCCATTGCTCTTTACTTGGTGGTGTGCTTTGAACTGCCAAAGTTAATAGGCATTGAGACCTTCGCCCCAGGGGAAGGCATGACCCTAGCAGTGGGTTCTCAGCAGGCAGCATGGCCCCACCCTATCCTATACCCATGCTCTAAGTTGAATTCCTCTGTTAAAGAAGAATCACAGGCTGGTTGTTTCTAGAACTGGCTCAAGAATTCCAGGCCAATATTAACCCTAATGCTACCTTCTAATTAATTGGATGGAAAATTGATCATCAAACAAGGGAAGATCTAGTCAGCTGACTTACATGGGTTCTGGGGATCAGAACTTCAGTTTTCATGCCTACACAGCAAACATTTACCCGTAGGTCCACTTTCCCAGCCAATGATGGTTGGTATTTGTGTGTGTCATGTCTGTGTGTCATGTTTGTATGTGTGTATGTGTGTAGAGGCCAGCGGTCTGTACCAGGTGTTTTCTTTATTTTCTCTATACCTGATCCCTGATCCCATTTGAGGTAGCATCTCTCACTGAACCTGGAGCTCACCAATTCCTCTACACCAGCTGGTCATCAGGTCACCAAAACCTCCTGTCTTTGCCTCTCAGAGCTGAGATTACAGTTGCTCACCTCTCTCCCTCTCCTTCTCCTTCTCTTTCTCTCGCTCTCTCCTTCCTATGTGTAAATGAAAAACTCTATCAGCCAGCTTCCTGACTCTGCCACCATGCCATGTCTTCTTCATCTCATGCCTTCTCCATGCCATGTCTTCTCCAGCTCATGCCATCACATCATACATCATGTACTTAACACCCACATTATACATATTACACACATAGAGAGCACACACATCATACACATTACACAAATGCATGTATACATCACATATATCATACACATAACACATACATTATACATGTCACATATCTATACATAGACACACATGATACACCTAGCACACATCATATATATAACACAACTGCATCACATATATCACACATATATATACATACACATATATCACACACATAATATACATATACACACTAACAAATTTTTGAAGACCAGATCTTGGGTACTACTGTGTGTTTTTCTCTTAAGATTTTTGTCTTGGCTGGATATAGTAATACACTCTGTAATCCCATCTCTACATTCATGAGAAAATGAGGGAGAAGGGGGAAAATAATACCTTAATGTTATAATAAAACAAATATGAGCTCATGGGCCTTTGAAGAGGTCTTGGGGAACATACTCTTTGAAGCACCATTCCACATCAGTGGAAACCTGTATATTTGTATGGCTTTATTTTCAGATAAGGTCTTATTTAATACAGAATTGCAAAAAGGACTGAAGAGACAGCTCAGTGCTTGAGAGCAGTTGTTCTTGCAGAGGACCTGGGTTTGGCTCCCAGCATCCACATTGGAGTTCACAGCTAC